TTTAAAAGCAATAAAAACAAGTTCATGTCATGTAGGTGTTCTAACTTGATACGTTGCTGACTAGGAGGAAATAAGCACAACTGTTAAATGCAGTACAAAAAGATTTATTTATTTATATTTCATATTTCTCAACTGCCCATCTCCATTTTGCCTATTCACCCATTTCAAGATGAATTGAAAGGGTCTTTTTTTTTTTTTTTAAACCTAATAAAGATATTAGGTGGGTCAACTTTGCAGAGGTTCAATCATGCATTATTGCAGGAGAGACCATAGGAATTACAGGCAAACTTTTTTAGAGGTTCTCAGGAAGTGTGGAAGTTCAATCAGAAAACTGTAGCCTAGAACTAAATTACGTAAAGCTTTGAAGATAACCTATATGTGTGTTAGTATGTGTGCATGCATACTTTTGAATTAGTTTTTTTTTTTTTTACTCCTGGTGACTACCTGGACAAGTTTGTGCAGCATGTTCCAGACTAGACAGAAATAACAGATCCACACAGAGTGTGTTACTCTATTTAAATCTGGTGGTTATCAACCTGGCCACTATTACTTTTAGGTCACTATCTTCAGAAAGATAAAGAGTTAATATACCAAACATGGTTGATATATTCCCTGGAGTTCATGAAAGGTACATCTGGCCTTGTTTTAATTTGGAAAATCAAAGAGTGAATCGGGTTTAGAATAGGGACCTCATGTTGAGCACGTCTCTCTGGTCTGGATCCAGTTTCAAAAAATAATCCCTCATCCAGCCCATTACTAACTGCAGGATGGCATTCAGGAAAGCCATTCCATTTCCTAAAGACATCAAGGAAAAAGAGTATCATCAGCATACTATAGCATCCAGCTCCAACTCGCTTGTTTATTTCCTTCCAGCTACTTCTAGATGTTGAAAAGCATAAGATATATAACGGAGTTCTGGAAGATACCATATCACAGCTTCAATTTTGAGGATGCAGCATTATCTGAAATCTACTGGAGAGAGATAGTAATAGGTCCACTGCAAAGTTGTGCTTCCTGTTTCCAAAATTCTCAGATGATGATGAGGATCTCAAAACAGATGATGTCAATGAGAACCAATGGAGTCATGATCCATCTCTTGATCCCTAGATAAAAATCATCATCAGGCAGTCCAAAGCTACCTTAAGCCACCCTCAAAGCAGTTTGATATGGGATAAGATAATTTATGGAGATTCTCGATCATCCAGGTCATGGTTGTCCCAAAGGTGTTTTTCAAAAGGCAGCTGGGGTTTCTTTTTTTTCCCCTTAAAAATGTTTCACTTCTCATCTAAGAAGCTTCTTCAGTTCTGATTCAACTGTGGGGAATGGAAAGATTTATATTCTTTGCAGGCATTTGGTTGTTAGCAGTCTGAGAGTCATTGAGGCCACTTGGGGTTTATCTGTACTCTCAGGGTCACCCGAATCAGAGTGCACATGGGTGTGGAACCTTCTTGGGACTGCTGAAAGGATTATGTTGTAAACAGGAGATAGGTGGTGTTGTATCCTTTCCTCTCTGTTGAAAGAGGACTGTTCAATTTTAACATACTGTAGATGGCCAGTCTTAAAAAGGTCATCACTTTGAAGATAGCAAAATCCACATTGTGGACCGAGAGGAGCATTGGTTTGAAAGAGGGGTCAAAGAGGCCATTTTATCAACCTAAACTCCTCCCCCCAAAAAAAGAAAGAAAACTCCCCACAGGGTCAGCAAATTTGTTTGATACAGAGCTGCCACAGAAAAGAAAAATCACACCATCTCACGCAGAGAGATCATGTTCCAACAGATGTTCCATTGTTCACAAACTCTCCTTGTTGCAACTCCATCTTTACTATAATTTTATGCATCCTTTTTTATTGATTCAATAAAAACAGTCACTTTTATTTTTCTATTGTTTTGTAGTTATTTTACTCATATTGTAGAAGTTTAAATTGGCATTTGTTCTATGTTAAGCTGTTGAGAGACTTTTCTGAGGATGGTGGAGAAATATCTGATTAAGTAAATATAGAAGGCTCATCTTTCTTCACAATATAAAATAGTCTGAGAGGAAGATTAATCTGACATAGGTCTATGATTTCCAAATCTTCTTGAATTACATCTTTCAGTATCTCTCTCTATTGGTCATATTTGCTAGAACTGAATGAAACTGATGTTCAACAGCACTTCAGAACCATGGTTTATCAATCCCAATTACCCAAGTGTGGATATGAACATAATCTCACCCTGAGTCTAACATATTAATTGCAACATTAGATTGATATTTAGATTGGTTTCCAATATGGTGGTGCACAAATAAAGCAAGTGAGGAAAAGTTATTCAAAAAAATTTAAGGTGTAAGAGAGAAGAAGAATATGAAAGGGAAGATCGCTTACATCATAGGCTCCAGCTTTGATCTGCTGATATAATCGGTGTTGATCCTCATCCCAGAAAGGAGGATAGCCAACCAGTAGAATATAGAGAATAACTCCTGTGTGTTCAGAGGGAACATTGTTACATAAGCTAGTGGAAAATAATTGATTGACACAGGAGATCTGAATTGCCCTACACAGTGAGCAAGAGAGAAAAAATAAGATGAGTCAAGAGCTAGGTATCTTCCTGTATTGTCAACATTGTCCCGATGTTGTATAAAATGGTTACTTCTTAACTGAAATGTCAAGGATTCAGGCATAAGTGTGAGCTCTTTGCAGTTCAGTCTGAATCATCAGTATCATCATTTGCCTGACTGAAAACAAGACCAGCAATTCCTTATGAATTTTTTTAAAAATATCTCTAGCGTTGGCATTTCGCTGAATGATAGCAGTGGCTGCATTTATCCACCTGGTGGAAGGAATAATTAGATATAGTTTTACAAATAGATACAGGTAGTCCTCAGCTTATGACCACAGTTGGCAGCAGAATTTCCAATGCTAAGCAAGGTGGCTGTTAAGGGACTTGGGCCTGATTTTACAACCTTTTACTATCTTTTTTTGCCATGGTTGTTAAGCGAAACATGCTGTGGTTATGTGAATCATAGGTGATTGGTTTCACCCATTGACTTTACTTGTCGGAAGCCAACTGAGAAGGTTGCAAATGGCCATTACGTGAGCCTGGGACAGTCATAAATACATGCAGGTCCCCAAGTGCCCAAATTTTGATTATGTGACTATGGGGATACTGCAATGGTCGTAAGTGTGAGGGCTGGTCATAAGTCTCTTTTTCAATGCCATTCTAATCTTGCAGGCTTAAGAAACAATGGTTGTAAGTCATTAAACAAATGGTTGTAAGTCGAGGATTACCTGTAACAGGTTTACTATCAGTTTACTACTATCAATGGAGAATTCAAAGAATGTTTTAAAGTCCTTCAGCTTTAAGCATGTAGAGCCCATTGTTTGAGACAAAGCTGAGTTGAACCTTTGAAAGCAATGATCTTCTGACACTGATCCTTATATTTTTGTAATAAGTATCCAAGTGGGGTTGGATATCAATAGAGGAGGAATTTAACTCTGGTGCATAAGCTCTCAATGTACATACAAGCAATAAGTGATAAATCATGATCATAATCATAAAATGCAATCATCATAAATCATAAGATACAAACTTAGTGATAGTCATAGGAGAATTCAAAGAATGTTTTAAAGTCCTTCAGCTTTAAGCATGTAGAGCCCATATTTTTGTAATAAGTATCCAAGTGGGGTTGGATATCAATAGAGGAGGAATTTATCTCTGGTGCATAAGCTCTCAATGTACATACAAGCAATAAGTGATAAATCATGATCATAATCATAAAATGCAATCATCATAAATCATAAGATACAAACTCAGTGATAGTCATAGGATACTAAATAAGCAAACAACATAAATCATAATAGGATACTAAATAAAGGCAATCAACATAAATCATGAGATAGAAACAACAAGGTTATAATCATAAGAAGCTAAGGAAATAGGTAATAGGAAAAGATGAAACGATGAGAAGGATAATCAACTCATTTTTTAAAAAAAATCTGCAGCATGAAAGCACTTAAATGTTTTTATTATGAATGGCATTGTAAAAAAAGTGTTAAATTATGAATGGGATGAATTTTGTTCCTAGCATCTATCAGAATGGGAGGAAAATAACAAGGAACAATTCTCTGTTTGCTAAAATTTATTAGGAATAAGGTTGCAGTAAAAACACCAGACTTCTGGCAAATAAATTTGCTTTCAGATGTGGAACCTATTTATAGGCAATTTAAACCACTAGATTCTGGCTTCCTTCCTTGCTTCCTTTCAGTGTAACAGAAAGGAGGGCGATCCAGTCTGTCCTTATAATTTGTTTACATAATGGCTACATTAGGAATCTGAATATTTCCTCATAAACTAAGTTGTTTTGCTCCGCTATGGAAATAGGGCTGCTGGAATAAATTATTTGATTTTGACAAGGATTTATTACAATAAGTCAATGCTAGGGATCAGGAATAGTCACCCTGTGCTGGAGAAAGGGAGCCTTAATGGCCTTGTGAAGCATTAATGATGGTCTTCATCCAATATTTTAAAAGGGATCTGTGGGAGATCCAGAAAATTATAGTCCAGGCATGTTTAACATGTTCCAGGCAAATTGGAAGAAACTATAATCAAACAAAAAACAAACTAAGCCCACAGAGGGATAAGGCTTGCTGAAGGAAAACCAGCGTGGATACTGAAGAGGTGATTCTGTCTCATGAATCGTTTCAAGTCTTTTGCAAGGGCAATGGATGGTGGGATCAATATTGTATACCTAAGTTTCACAAGGCCTTGACAACATTCCTCATAAAAGGTTCTTGAGTTCCCTTATCTCTTATGGCAGTGGTTCTCAACCTGTGGGTCGGGACCCCATTTGGGGTCGATCGACCATTTCACGGGGGTCGCCAAGCAAGGCTGTCCGCCATTTTTTTTGTCCGCCATTTTTTTTGTCCGCCATTTTTTCCCCCTTTTCCGGCGGGTGCCTTACCTCCCTTGGGCTGGGCCAGCTGGTGGTCGGCCTGCTCCATCTCTGCCGCTTGCCAGCTATGCCTTGGCTGGCGCAGGGGGCGGAACCATGCATGCGCGGCGCTCCCGGGCAGGGAAAGTCCTCGACTTACGACCGGTTGGGTAGTCCTCGACTTAGGACCGGTTTAGTCCTCGACTTACGAACAGTTGGGGTCGCGGCATTAAAAAGGTTGAGAACCACTGTCTTATGGGATTAGATAATCTGTCGTAGTATTTTTTATTAATTATGAGAAACCAAAGTGTAAGAACATATGGGCATTGTTTTCAATGGAGAGAAGTTCTTCAAGGATGAGTGTTGGGACCAGGGTGTTTTATCTTGTCCATACATTATTTTCGTTTAAAAGATAGCACTCAGTTGGAGAAGTTTGCAGATATTATCAAAGTATTCTGATGCATGTTGGAGAGCAAAAAGTCTTAATGCCACACTTAAACTGATAGTGTCTGCACTGTCTATAACCAAGTTACTGTCTTCAGCATCCTTTGAAACATTGTCTCACTTACCACATGCCCAAAGGTCAACAGCTTTGCCATAGGGATCCTTCCGGAGCACTTCAGGAGAAAGGTAACCTGGAGTGCCTGCAAAACCTGTTAATTGTCAAAATAGATAGCTAATTACACTATTTGCCCCCAGGAGAATCAACAACTTTTCATTTAGAACAATTCTCCGTCTTGGGATTTCTTATTACATGATAAATATTAAGAGCTGAAATAGCAGTGATAATTATCATCTCCTGAGCCTCTTGTTCTATTATGATGCACATATTATGGGAGCTGTTCTTCTAACTTCTGCTCTGTTTGGATCCAATTTTATTGCTCCCGCTACTCTCAAATGCTTCCCAAACAGCCCTATTTTTCTCTCCCCTAAAGCTAAGACTGCAGGCAATCTATTTCCCCACTGGAGGGAACTCCTCCTCCTGGTTTTGAGTTCACTCTATGCAGTGGTGGGATTCAGCCAGTTCGCACCACCTCAGCAGAACCGGCAGCTATTTTTTTGTTCCCCAGGCCCAGAATGGACTTCTGGAAGTGGCATCCACACAGAGAACCGGTTGTTCACATATTTGAATCCCACCATTGACTCTATGAGACCTGTACTGGGAATGCTGGCTTGATTGCTTCCTATCTCTTCCTCAGTGTAACATGAAAATGACAAAGTTTCGTTAGCCTGCAAACAAAACAGCAGGCAGGTCTTGATCTTGTCTTCCTTTGCTTTCTTCTGCTTTGGAATGGGAGGATATTTATTGCTGCAGGACCTTTGGCAGTGGAGCAATGATTTCACTCTTGATTCTCACAGCTGCAAGTCTCATTGATTGAAAGAGGATTACTAATCATCCTCCAATGTGCTTTGAGGGATTATGAAGTACAAGCAATGGCCAACTGAAAGTGCCTTGCATCCCATCCCTGGCCCATCTAGGCACGCGCTATCAGATCAAATTGACTACAGCTCTGTGAAGTCTCAAAGCAATCATCTTTTACAGCCTTGTTATTCAAGATCCTTCTGGGACTTTTTGAGTTGCAGAAGCATGTGCTGCACTAGTGTATTTGCAAAATGTATTTATGACTTAGAAATTATAAATGTATTCCCATAACAGCCTGTGTCTACAGCTCAAAGATACAATAGTAACAGACATTAGGATGACCTAATCAGCTTGCAGTTATTGTGAGTTAATTAAACCCCAGCTACTACTCCATATTTATGTATGTCTGTACATACTTTCTCTCATCTGGAGTGATAGCTGGCTTTAATATTATATAATATTACAGAGAGAGGGGGGGAGAGGTCTAAATAAATGCCACTAGGGAAAGACTAATATGACCACAATGAACATATTAGTTTCTACAATCCATTTATATTAGGCTGCTTTAGTTAGTCTAAATCAGGGTAATTGACTTTTTCAAAACAGAAACTCCATTGAAATAATTAGTTTTAGAATACAGCATATTTCAGCAATATGCAATTCTCATACATCTGACATATTGTAAATAATCACAGCTCTCCAGACGTTTAATCCTTTAGCTTGACATGGCAGAAGATGCTTAGGAATGACCTGGCCAGAATAAAGCTTTAAACACAGTATCTGAACGATCCTCTCAGAGTAGAGAGTACAGTTTTTTACACATATATAGTATACTTCAGTCTTGAAACTGTTGGCTTCTTCCTCTGTGCTTTTCAAATTAACAGATACATGGTGGTTTGCTTGGTGACATTGGGTGGCTGAGATATGGCTCTTCCCAGACTGGGAGGTATTTATTCCTGACTAGCTTCAGTCTTACACCAGTTTACTTTCTTCTTTTTAATATAATTTCATTGAAAGTTTTAACAAACAATAAACATGAATATAACCTAAAACAGAGTAACAAAGAAAAAACAACAACAACCAGAGGAAAGTATTAATCTATCATTTTTAGAGGGTACCAGCTATAGAAAAATACCAATTCACAGTAGTGCAGAATTAATGCCCTGCTTCATTTTAACGAGAAAGTAAAATGTATTTTGCCCAATTACACACATACCCAAACAAAATGGAACATCTGCAAGTCCAGTTTTCTTCTACTCACCAAACCAAGCCTGCTGTTCTCCTTCCACTTCAATAGCAAGACCAAAGTCAGCTAATTTAACAGCAGCTCCCTTCAGTTTGGAGGCCAGCAAGAGGTTCTCTGGCTTTAAGAGAAAAAAAGAGAAGGGAACAATAAAAATGCAAAGAAGAAAGGTCCCACTTTTCTCTTGTGACTGAGATGCAAAAGTGTTATAAATAGAATACTAAACTTGGCACACTTCCACATCTCTAAGAATACAAATCTATATTTCTGGGAAATTTGGAGAGCAATAAATTTATTTTTAGTAGGTAGGATAATGAACAAAAATAATGCAAAAATGCTTAAAACGATGAAGAGGAAGAGGCTGTGGATGAGAAACAATGTATAGAAAGATTGATTGCTACAAAAAGAAATGAGGTTGAACGATGCCGTACAATGGGTTAAGACAGAAAAAGGATAGCTGCAAATGAGAGACAAGAAGTTAAGATTAAAAGTAACAGAGAAAATGCAATATTTTAATGAATAAAAATAGTTTGAGAAAAAAAACTCAGCAAATGGAATTCAGAATAAAAGTGAGAAATGTTTTGAGCTGAAACTGAAGTAAGAGAATATTGAAAAAAATACTGTAAAGCAGGGGTCCCCAACCCCTGGTCCGTGGACTAGTACCGAGCCGCGGCATGCCAGCAACTGGTCCGCACAAACAAGGAAAGCCCCATCCACAGGATGCAGGCAGCACACAAAACCACACCCCCTCTGGTCCATGGAAAAACCTCTCTCCACGTAACCGGTCCCTGGTGCCCAAAAGGTTGGGGTCCTCTGCTGTAAAGGCTTGTATGGGAATAATATGTCAGAATAAAATTGAAATGGATACTAGTAACTTAGATTATGGCAATTTGCTCTATATGGGACTGGTGGTGAATTGACTCAGAAGCTACATCTGATAACAGAATGAAATTGCAAATTTACTGGCCATCAATGCTAATTGGTTCAATAGAACCACACCCACCTGGCAGAAGTTGCATTAGTTGCCAGTAAGCTTCTAAGTCCAATTCAAGGTGCTGATTGATATCTATAATTTACTTTTAAGTCTTAAACCCTCATTTCCTTTGGACAATCTAATTCAGGGGGAATCTGCTTGCCTCATACAGTATACTTGGGAGAGAGCACTGTAGACTCCTGGCCCCTGAAGGTTGTTACTAAGAGGTCCATACCAGGACTTTTCAACCGATGGTATGCGTACCACCTGTGGTACTTTGCCACATGGCAGGTGGTACGCAACCATCCCAGAGAAGTGTAGCGGGGGAGAGGAATGAGATGAAGCGACCCAAGCCTGAGGGAGAGGCAGCTGCAGCTGCAGGACTGTCTGGGCTCAGCAGAAGCTCCAGGAGCCAGCAGGGCTCCAGCTGATTAATTTTACTCCCTTATCTTGAGTCTGTCTATGGTGTTTAGAAAGTTTTCTTTGAAAGTAAACAGGCTTAATTTAAGGCTAAAGCTTTTTGCAATTGCCGGAGCCTTTCAGTCTCGGATTGCAATCCGAGTTTTTGATACCTTGCTAAGCACTGGTGGTACTCAAATATTGTCATGTCCTAAAAGTGGTACAATCTGTGAAAAGGTTGAAAAGCCCTGGTCTATACAATGGCTTTTTCAGGAACAGCCTCCTCATTATGGAAAACATTGCTCTACCTAAGTCAGAGTGGCCTCGGCCTTTTTAATGGGATGATGGCTAAAACACTTAAATTTTCCCAGAAACTTTAGAATGGAAAACAGTAAGCAATGGCCTAACGGTGTTTCTTTGTTTATTACCCACTGCAGTCCAGAGATTCCTGGCAGCTTATGTAAAGTATAAAGCCAAATAAAACATCAATCTAATTATAAAACAATTAAAACAACTGTAGCCACACAGAAAGCTATAAGTGATCAAAATAGAAAATGAAGACGGCTTGCTAAAATCAAGTGAAGATTCTCTGGAACAACTTGGACTTTACAAGCTTTTGAAATGTTAGCAAAGAGGGGACTGACTTTTACTCAAAAGGGGTCTGTTACACAGGGTTGGTGCTGCCTTGGAAAAACAACATCTCCTCACTTAGATCTCCTGAAAATGTGGAACCAGTAGCAATTCCTCTCTTTTTGATTGAATTGGTTGGGCTGTTACTGGTGTGAGCAGGTGCTCCTGCAGATAGCCCGGTGCCAGGCCATAAAGGCTTAAATCAGCAGTTCAAATTGCACATTAACAAGAGAAGATTTTTATTTCACGGAGGACACTTTCACTCTAGGTCTTGTGAAGGAAGTTTAACCAGAGGAATGCTTTTAAGTTCTTTCAATTTTACAATGTATAAATATTTTACCTTTAAATCCCGATGCACCACGCCCATCTGATGACAATGCAAAACAGCTTCCAGGATCTGCTGAATACAATGGCTAGGAAGAAGAAACATTGTCACATTATGTCATATTCCTCGTTATGGGTAATGGGCCAAGATAATCTTTCTCAGTGGTCTCCATTTCATGCTTCACTCCTTCTCTCATTTTCTATGTTCCTATGTGCTTTTCTGCCGAGAGCCAAGCAGAACAAGCCTTCATTGCAATCTTAGCTTATTTAACAAAGAGAAATCTAACTGTATACTGAAAAGCCACCAGGGAATCTTTAGAGTTACTTGGGCTCCTTCCTGTGAGAAACAAACAAAAAGAACCTGGAGGATTTTTTATGGGGTGATAGCAAGAACAACCTGATCAATTTCTCACATAAACGATGACTTTAGATGACATGACCATCCCAAAAAGGCTACCATAACTGGGCTGCAAAACTCTAGATAACAATGAGATAGCAGCAAGCTGGCCCCCGCTATTTGGTGTCATCTATTTCGCTCATTAATATTTGGCAGATCTAATATGGTAGCCATAAAAAATAATTTTGTTCATTTTGGTAGATCTCACCAGGGTTGCTAGATGAGTTATAAGCATCATGCCGGAGACCTAAAGACACAGGTGGCAGAACAGACAGAACAGCCACCTGTAAAATGAAATGACTCGATTCACAGATGCTAAAATGCAATTGGGTTTGAATTTCAAGCCTGCAGCAAATTTGCATGCCTTGAATTGGGTGCCTTTTACCTTCTGCAAGGAAATCTCATGGATTATCTTCCCTGTTAGACACAGACATCCTCTTGAGTTTGCTTTACAAATTGGAAGAAATATTTATCTCACAAAGGCCCAATCCCCACCTATGTCAGTATTCCATTGAATTTTAAACCATTAAATTTAAATTGGAAATTCAGATACAAATTAAGCACCATAAAAACAAAATGAACTGAAAAGGAAATGAAATTCATTATCCGTGAGATAGAAAGGCATAAATTATTCTTGATTATCTAAATCAAAAGGGAGCAAACCTTTGGCTTAGAGAATTCTCCTTATTCAAGAGAAGGCTGAAGACCACCAATCTCAGTTGCAATTTAGTTAAGGCGGGGTCACAGTTTGTGCCAAGCATCGTACAGGTTCGTTGAGTTTGTTTAGCATGTTGTGTAAACCTGATCTATTTTGTATAAATCATACTTTATAATGATTATGCCATGTGAACTCATTTAATAAACCATAGTACAGCACGATGTGTGAACCCCTGAATAATCTTGACCACAAGACGTTTTAATCTCCTGCAACTATCTGAATCCCCATCAAGCCTTCACCCCCCTCTAATAAAAACAATATTTTTTCTCTTGTTTCAGTGAAGTCAAAGCTTGGAGATATACAGCATCACAGATTGCTGCTATTTTAAAAAAGAAAAAAATTAATAAAACTCTAGTATACTAATAGCTGAAATGTAGTTCTAACAGAAGAAACGGGCAGATCTAACAGAGCAAGGAGCTGAAAATAAATTTTATAAGTGAAAAAAGTGGTGTTTTCACCCTTCTGGCCTATCAATTTCACTTAGAAAATTCAGGAAACAGTTTTTCTAGACAAGTGTTTTTCAGCCTCAACAACTTTAAAATGTATGGTCTTCAACTCCCAGAATTCCTCAATCTGCCTGCTAATAGGGGAATTCTGAGAGTTAAAATCTACCAATCTTAAAATCGCCAAAGTTGAAAAACATTGTCTTAGAGATACTTCATTACCTTCCAATACCTACCTGGCATCGGCTTCACTATAGTATTCTCTGGCAACAATGTCTTCAAACAGCTCCCCTCCAGTAACGCTGAAAAGCAAGGAAAGGGGAATCAGCTTCTATTGATTGACAACAGCCAAATAATTGCATGTACTATGTAAGGGCCTTGACCCAAATTTAGGTAAGTATCAGAGAGAAAGAATTTGGTTGATGAAGGCCGAATGGTAGAGTGTAGTGGGCTCATGCTGTGCTCTCGATCTCATAATGACCTCTGTCAATCTTAATCTAACTGATACCAGGTCTTACAGAGTATGATTATCCTGACCTAAATGCATAGTCATATGTATTTGGATTTGATTTTTTTTTTTACTTTCATGATTGATTTTTTTAAAACTTTAATGATTGACTGTAGGGAACAACATGTTCTCATTGTTTTGTTCACAGATCTATACAGGCAGTCTTGGACTTACAACAGTTCATTCAGTGACCATTTAAAGTTACAATGGCACTGAAAAAAGTGACTTATGACCATGTTTTACACTTACGACTGTGGTAACATTCCCCAGGGTCATGTGATCAAAATTCAGACGCTTGGCAACTGACTCATATTTATGACAGCTGCATTGTCCTGGGGTCATGTGAATGACTCTTGCGACTTTCTGACAAGCAGATTCAATGGGGAAGCCAGATTCACTTTAACAGCCGTGTTACTAACTTAAGAACTACAATGATTCACTTAACAACAGTGGTAAGAAAGGTCATAAAATGGGGTAAAACTCACTTAACAAATGTTTCACTTAGCAATAGAAATTTGGGGCCCAATTGTGCTCATAAATTGAGGACTGCCTGTAATTCCATAATAAACTAGCAACTATGAAAGGCGTATAATGTTTGAGAAAGCAGGGTACTAACATAAAAATACACACCTGAAGGATATTGTAAATAGCCATATTTAGGGGTAAGGTAGGTTGTAAGAATAGGAGCCTTTAAAAAAAAAAAAGACTGCATGCCATGCTAGATTAACAGGTCTGTTTTATTCGTATGCAAAATTATGATTCATATACCAAGCAACAAGGCTGTTCAGAATAGCTTTACTTTCTAATCTGCCTGGATACTTTTTGAGATCACCAAAATGAAATTAAATAGGATTTTTAAAAAGTGTCAGTTAAAACTAGAAACTGCCTCAAGGGCAGGAGCTTTACTGGAAATGACTGAATATAATACATGTGCAGGACCATTAAAGGTGAATGAACATTAATTGAGTTTTCTGAATACACTGAATAAAAACACTATGAAAAGTTAAAGCTTAGAAGGGTAATCACAGCTTGACATCATATTTGGATAAAGAATTGCAGGTGCTCAATCAAGGGAGATGATGGGAGTACTTGGGTTCTTTGGAGCTCAGAGATGGATGGCTGGGGTCAATCAATCAATCTGGTCATTGACTAATTCAAAAAGAAGAGGAGAAATTCCGAGACAACAAATAAAAATTGTAATAAAACTAATGAGCCTTGAAGGCTGGAGAGCCTTGGTAAAGGGTCTCCTGCTTGAGCAGGGGGTTGGACTAGAAGACCTCCGAGGTCCCTTCCAATTCTGTTATTCTGTTCTGTTAATGATAAAAATCCATGCTCTCAGTGTACTACACATTCTAGCAATATTAAAGCAAAATTTAGAGAAATAAAATTACGTTGGTGTCACAAGAATAACTATAAATAGAATGAATCCAGGTGGCCTACAAATATGGGGAATTATTAGATGTAATCAGTGATCTTTGTAGTCAGGACATTATACCAGAACATGGCAGGATGTGTGTGTGAGAGTGGATTCTCTTGGATATGGGGGGAAATCTTCACTGCTGGGAAAGAAGAGGAATGTCTGTAGATTTAGTTTGTTGTCAATCAACAGAGTTTGAAGAAGGATTATAATCCTAATTCATACATTTGTCACATATAACCTAATGTTTCTTTTATGCATGAGTGGGATTTCCACCAAGTATATATTTTGTTTTGTTTTATTTGCATAGTGTCTTGCCCATTTATGGAAAGGGCAATTGCCTTTCAGCACCACAAATTCTATAACCTGTTATCTATGAGCAAGGTATTAGGTTTTTCATTCCCTAAGCCAGTTTTTCCCAACCTTGGCAACATGGTACTGAGTCATGGTGGTGCAGTGGTTAGAATTCAGTATTGCAGGCAAATTCTGCCCAGAGTCTGGAGTTCGATCCTGACTGGCTCAAGGTTGACTCATCCTTCTATCCTTTTGAGGTCAGATGGTTGGGGCAATATGCTGGCTCTGTAAACTGCTTAGAGAGGGCTGTAAAACACTATGGAGCAGTATATAAGTCTAAGTGTTATTGCTATTGCTATTACAATGTTTCGCTGAAAATAAGAACTATCCAGAAAATAACTCCTAGCTTGATTTTTACATGTGCACCTAATATAAGCCCTAGCCCCAAAATAAGCCCTAGTTTGGGGGCAAGGTGCACACATAAAAATCATGGGGTGGGAGGGTGGAGCTGCCTCACATGCCCTGTACCCACCTACCTTAGGACATCTGCAGCCAGAGCTCACACACCCCTACACCTGTTATGCTGCTGTGCAACTTCTTCTGCGGCCGGACAGGACATGGCTCATCACACCAGTGCCACCGCTTGTGGCAGAAGGCTGTGTGGCACTTTGCACCAGCACTGCTACTGGCAGCAGGAGACTGCGTGGCTCGTGGCGCCCGTGCCAGCAGGAGGTCGCATGTTGCATTGTGCCGGTATCGCCACTCACATGAGGAGGTTGCATAGTGCATTGCACTGGTGCCACAGCTTGCATCAGGAGGTTGTGTGGTGCGCTGTGCCGGTGCCACCACTCATGGCAGAGGCTGTGCTGTGGTGTGTGTGAGTGGTTGCACCAGCATGATGCACGAGTGTCAGCACCAGCACAAGCCACATGGCCTGCCATGAACGGCAGCACCAGCATGAAGCACCATGTGGCCTCCTGCTGCAAGTGGGGGCACCAGCGCGATGAGCCATGTGCCCCCACCCTCTGGAATGAACTACCCCCCGAGATCCGGATGATTCCGGATCTCCTTACTTTCCGCCGCGCCCTCAAGACATGGTTTTTCCAGCAAGCGGACCTGACCTAGGGAGGATTTTAGGTAGGGATAATTTTAAAAGTATTTTAATCGGAAACACAGCTGGTAATATTTGGTTTTAATTCGGCTTTTATCGGGGTTTATTTTTTGGATTTCTGTATTTTTGTATTTTGTATTTTTTGTATTTTGTGTATACTATTTGTTTTT